AAGTCATATACTGGCAATCTAAATGTGACCTTGAAATTGACCTTTGACCTACTTTTCACCATGAACTGAACTTTGCAAATTTTGGTTCCCTTTTATCTCCAAAAATGGCAGAGATAGGTCCATAGTTACTATTGAAGTTGAATAAGAAGTCATATACTGGCAATTTACTGTGACCTTGAAATTGACCTTTGACCTACCTTTCGATGAACTTAACTTTGATTGTACCATTTTTAGTCATATATGTTTTTTGCATATTTTGAAAATTCTTGTTGATTGCATTTTTACAGCTTGTCAAGCACAAGACTGGTGGCTGTGTCCCTTATATTGTGTATGTGGGGGTTTATACGAATGCGCTTGCTCCAGCTGGTGGTACAATATTCGGAGGCGGTATCGCCTCTCTGATCCTCTAGTTACTTCTTATTGCAAACCTACTGGAGGGAGAGCATTCAGAATACATTGATAGCTATATAGTATAGGGACTAACAAGCCTCCTCTTGGTTCCAACATATTATTATTTTATACTCACCAGCTTCTCTGTATTATACTCAACACCAGGAGGAAGTGTGTTAGTCTGTTTAATTGATGGCATTCAGTGAGTCTCTGTGAAGTTAGCATGCAGTAGTTTATTTTGACATGACTCAGTTTGAAAGGTCTCTAAGACTGTTGTGGACAAATTAAAACATAAGTATAGCCAAAATGCTGATAAAAGTCAGGGGTTCTTCACAAAAATGGCAGATGATACAACTGAGTGCAGCAATGATTTGAACTTAAAGGGATAACAGGTGTTCATTTAGGAAAAAAAATTGATTTTCCTGGGGTAATGGACAATTTTCCCATACTTACCAATGGTTAATGAATTCATTCTGACATTCAAAGTAAGTCCCTGTTTTTTCTCCTAAAATGTTTGGTCTTTTTGTAATATACTCTTAAGATATCATTACAGAGTGTAGCCATATATGGAGGTCGTGTGATATGATGGCAAACACAAATTCCAGAATAAATACATTAACTGCCGTTTTGGAGGTAAAATAGATTTTATTATATTTCTATGAGTTGTTTACAATGTATTTATTGTGAAATATTGATATCTTACACAACAGTTGTTATTCCTTTCACTACTCATTCACTGTATGTGTGTGTCCAACTTTGATCTTTATTTATTCTTGCTTGGTGTATGCTAATTTAGTTAAAGGCTCTCATGTAATACCTTTTGAAATTGAAAATATTTCAAAGGCAACTACATTTTTTTTTTCAAATAAAGTCATCCTTTTTATTTTTACCTACTGGTATCAATAATTTAATCAATAAAGTTGTATAATAATAATAATAATAATAATAATAATAATAATGATAATAATAATAATAATATTAACAGCAACAACAATAATAACAAGGCAGCTCAACTGCCAAATGTATAGACATAAAGCAGAAAAAATGTCCATTTTCAATATTTTTTTTACATAATACAAAATAACCAATTTACTATCATTTTTATATGGTCAACAAACGAAATTGTTGAGATCAGAAAATATCAATAAGATAATTTTAAATGTCTTATTTGCTCCATTCTGAGATCCTGAACATAGTGAGCGATTGAATCTGACAAACTGATCTGATTTGGGTTTATTTTCGATTTTGACACTTTATTACACAATGCACAATAATAGATATACCATCATTTTTATATAAGCAATTTATTTTTATTTATTTTTTTTATAAAATATTGTTAAGATGCAGAAAATGTTAAAGAACACTGTTACAAATATGATAGCTTAATTCTAAGACTGTTAACATGCATAAGAATGGCATGAGGAAAACCCATTTATATACAAAAATCAGCATAACTTCAACAAAAATAAACTGATCAATCCAATTTTTGAACTTGATCTATATATCAGATTTTGAATTAGTCAGTTTCAAAGAAAATATGAATTTCATTTTATTTGTATAATGCAAGAAAAAATATACTGAAAAAAATAGCATAACTCATTGGAAAAATGGTCCAGTCAGCCTGATTTTCAAACTTGACACGTATTTCATAAATATCAGTTCCGCAGTTTGATGACAAAAGGTAAAATGGTTTTCATTTTATTTGTATAACGGTGGATAAAATATAACGAAAAAAAAAAAACAGCGTTACTTCTAGAAAAATGGTCAGATCAGGCTGATTTTACAACTTACTGTACAGGTAGTTTCTGAAAATTGGTTCTGTAGGTTTGAAGACAAAGGGTAAAAGGGTTTTCATTTTGTTTATATAACCGTTAATAAAATATGCTGAAAAAAGCTGCTGAAAAAAAAAAAACCGGCATAACTTCTGGAAAAATTGTCCTATCGGGCTTATTTTCGAACTTGACCTGTATTTTGTAAATATTCATCAGTTCTGTAAGTTTGAAGACGAAAGGTAAAACGGTTTTCATCTTATATGTATAACACTGAAAGTACACGACGACGACAGACACAGGCGACGGCTATGTGTTCAGACACATAAGTGTCTGTACATAATAATAATGAAGATAAATGATAATTGCATGTACCCGGTATATAACCATGCCAGGATTTGGAAGCTTGTCGGTGGATTTCTTCACAATAATGACAAATTAAAAAGAACAAGAGTGTGTAGCAACAACTTGTGCCACACTGCTCATTTACTTAACATTTTTATCCAGCTTTGATCTTTATTTATTCTTGCTTGGAGCATGCTAACTAGCAAAAGGCTTCCATGTAATAACCTTTGTAAATAATTCAAAAGCAACTACATTTTTTCTAATAAATTCCTCCTTTTGAATATCACCTACTGGTATTATAATTTTTCAGTTGTATGATAATAATGATTGTTTGTCATGTTTTTGAAATTTGATGCATCTCAAATATTATCAATATCCATCTTTGCCAGTGATCCTTGTACATGACGTGCATGCTCATATCTTAAGGCTGTCCTTACATATCTTATACTCGCAGCTGTTTGCGACGTGAGTTACAATATAACCGCAAATTTCTGCCGGGACCGGTCTGTAAAGAGATTTGTGATAAAATATGGTAAGCCTTTTATTTTTCTTCTTATTATACATTAATTTTAAAAAAGTGCATTCGAATGCCAAATTACGTGTAGGTTTATCATGCCGTTTTTCTGCTAAACTAGTTAACTTCTGAGTAAAAATATTAATGCCATGCTGAACAAAATGATTCATTTACACTCATGATGAATTGAACAATTGAATTGATGTAAATTGGTCTGCTTTGGTTGAACTTGTTAAACATTTGGAGCAGAAAAAGAAAAGAAAAAAGGAAAGACAGAATTGCGTCCATGAGTCCGTGATAAGGGGTCATCAACACTGCCGCTGACTAATATAGCATTCATGCCATCGTCAAAACATTTGGAGCTTTTAAGGATATTGTAACCCTTTTTTAATATCCAGATACCGAAATTGAGGTTTTCCTGCATCTAATTATTCTACACTGCATCTATCTTTGTGCTGATTTAAAACAATTAAAAAACTCGAAAATATAAAATATCGGCATTTATATTTCTCATTGCAATGTATAAGCATAGGCAACTCAAAGCTTTAATCGTCAATTTAACATCTTTATATCTTGAGGTGAGATAACAATCGGTATGAGGTGTGACTTTATCCCTAAACAAGATTTTATCATCAAAATTGGCAGAGTTTACCACGAGTGTATGCGCTACAATCCCGCCGTCATTTTGGTTAAAATGTTTTGTTATGGAGTTATGAGCCCCTAATTACAGATTTTCGATAAAATCTTAAATAAGACTTCTAAGAAAGTCGCTGGCAGAATTTTGGAGTACTGAATAGTGTCTTTAATTCGGCGTTAAAACGGTGATCGTGGGGACTCAGGTAAAGGGGAAATTTGAGAAACCGATTTTTTTAGTTTTTACCACAAAATCACAATTATGACGTAACCCGTAAGATGATATGCATGTGAATGTTACTTAATTTAGTCACCGAACACTGAATATTTATATTTATGTAAATGTTACTTAATTTAGTCACCGAACACTGAAGATTTATATTGTACCCAAATGAATGTACTTATGGCAGTAAATAAAGAGTTTTTGGCGAATGGAGACAATATCCTTAACAAGGGATTCCAAAACGGGGAAATATATTCCACAGTCCGGAGAGCGAAAAGGGGGATAAACAGGATAAAACGATTCATATTGTGTTTCATACATTTTTCTTGGTTTTCGTTTGCGCCGAGTTTCACGTCAACTGTCCTTCTGTTCTGGTGGAGGCACACTAGCTGTCTATCCAGAAGATGGGTATGCAAACTGTTTTGATGACCGTCTAAGGGATCATAACTGCAGTGTTCTAGATAGAAGTTCCACAATATTTGTCGGAGCTGGACCTTTGATCATTAATTTGTGTAGGTGCACTAATAGCCACTTTCATATTTTGAGGAAGACAGACATCTTACAAACTTCAGACAGAATGTATGCGGGGCTTGCTGATTTACCACGCTGCAGGCTACCTTATTAGTTTTTTTTTCCCACGGAAAAACGGGAGAATTTCCTATTGCTTGTTGAGATTAATCGAGATTCAAAACCAACGTGAAAATCCATTTCCTCTATTACTGATAGTATAAAAGAAATATAGATATTGGCAGGTGTTTGCCAGCGCCAGAGACTATAATCTCGTCACTTATTACTTTCGATCTAATGTTATGTCCCATTTTACTTAAACATAACTTTTGAAGTAATTTTTCACATTCAGAATTATATAATAGGCAATTAACTTTTTCTTATTGTTTTTTTTTCAGCGCGCTAATCCTGGATTGTGCCAGACCTCGAAGTATGGCACTTTCACTCACCCAAACACTTGTTTTTGGCTTCACTTTATTTATTGTCACTAAGGCTGGCAATATTTTGATGGCACCTTATAGCCATTGTATCAACTCTCACATGATCAACCTGGAGATATTATCGTGGTACCTATCAGAGAATGGGCACAATGTCACCCTCTTAGTGCCTGAACCCTATCGTGGACCATACGTATCGTTTGATATCCAAGATACAAATATTCAAGTTTTACGATTCAAAGACCCGTCAAGTGTTGACAGAGCTACACCAAAACTCGGACGATGTGAAGGATTTGACAGTTTGGACAGCTTCCGCCGTATGGATGTGAACGGTATGAGAATGACGGAGCATAGCACATCGTTCAAAGCCACATCTGATTTGTTTGCTGACAATGCAACTTTGACGACTTTAATACGCAGTAGATTTCAAGTCGTTATTACAGATTATTTTTGGTTATGTGGCTACGCCGTCGCAGCTTATTTGAAAATCCCTCTGGTCACAGTGCAAATGCTCCCAGGCGCTCACGTCATGCAAATCCCTGATCTATACCCAGCAATATCGTTCACTCCAGATAATTATGAAGCAATATCTGATAACATGTCCTTCTTCGAAAGAGTAAGAAATGCGTGGCAACTATTCGTCCTCCGTCCCTTGCAGCGGAAATACGTGGACTGGATATTTTATCCAAGATTTCATAAAATCATGTTAGAGCACGGATTCTCAGACCCGGATCCGAATAACGTTTTCAATAACATAACTCTTGGATTCATGAATTCAGATTTCTTGTTTGATTATCCCGGACCAGTTTATTCCGACATGTTGTTTATAGGCGGATTTTTTAATCAGTGGGTGAGTAAGCCGAAAAAGCCTTTGTATAAGAATGTAATGGGAGTCATCGAATCTTCTGACGAAAACGGAATAATCGTGGTGAGTTTTGGATCGATGTTACTTGATTATGAAGTCAAATGGGCCAAAGCTTTTGCTGATGCTTTTGCGCGACTACCCCATAAAGTCATTTGGCGATATCCACAGTTGAATACACCTCCTCTCAATCTTGGCCAAAATACACTTCTCATGGAATGGCTTCCTCAACCGTATTTATTATCACATCCGAAAGTGAAGCTTTTCATTTCCCACTGTGGAGCTGGGGCAGCCTACGAGAGTATTTTCCATGGCGTCCCTGTTCTGGGCATTCCTTTAGCTGGAGACCAACCAGCAAACTGCAAAAAGTTGAGCGACAGACTTTTCGTGGGAAAATGCGTTGACATATCTACATTGACTTCGGAGACTCTCTTTGCTGCAATCCAAGGATTGTTACACAATTCCACAATCAGATCAAACGCTAGGAGGGTTTCACAGATTTTTAAAGAACGTGTCACAGCGCATGGTCCGAATATTCTACGTTCAATTAATTCCGTCTTGGCTGAAGGCGGTGCGCATTACCTTCATCCCAAAACTCGAGAGATGGTATGGTATCAAAAATACCTTATTGACCTTATAGTGGTAGTGTTTGCTGGCGTAGCAGTGTTGTCCAGCACATTTTACTACTGCCTTTGTTCATCCCCCGAGTCAAAGTCACAGAAGAAAGTTGACTGAGGATTATAATATTATTATATATATTTTTTGTATTATGTATTATTTGTTTATTATCCATTTTCATAGAAAACAAATAGGAGCTGAAGGACCTGGATGACCATAACATGAGTCAAAAGGATGTCGCCATATGAAATTTAATAATACATAAAAATTTTGATAAAATGAACAAATAAGAAATAAATACACCTTTGAAAATATTCAGGCTGTGAACAGTCATTTTCCTTGGATGCATATGAGAAGTATTAGGCCTTCAAACAGAAAAACAACAACAATAATAATAAAATAAGTTTTCCCATGAAAACTCGAATAGTTTTCTCTTGAACAGTAATTTACATTCAGCCCAAAACCATAGAGAAAATAACGATGTAGCATTTTCAACTGGATTTCTCAGTTTTTTGGAAAAAATTAACCTTTTATGACCAAAATGCAGAAAACATGACGCAAGAGTGATTTAACAAGCAGATTCAGTTCTCACTCCTTTAAGTCCTTTCAACAAACATTTGTGTTAGATTGGTTTCTCATATGATCCTACTACAGCAATTACTCCCAGGCTTTTTTGTTATTTAAATGTTCTAACTGATCTTCAAGAGATCTATGTTGACAAAATTTTTGTCTTTTTTCTTCCACAATTTTTGCTTTAAAATTCACTCTGCTGGCATTTTCTTTTCCCAGAGCTGCCATGTGTCCATATTCTTGCTCCTGGACAAAAAGAATAATATTGATAACTTGATAAGTAAAGCATAGTTATCTTTCAGTGCTTAAATATCTTAAAATTGTATGAACAATATCATCTTATATTGTCAGCTTCATGTAGACTTTTTCAAGCCACAAGCAGTTTGCTCTAGCTATTTAAACACTATTATATATATATATATATATATATATATATATATATATATATACCTTTGTTATATATGGTTTCTCTAGAATGTCCAGATTCCTTTTTTGGAGGAAAACATCTTCCACCACTTGCATCTTTATTTTAGGTGTGACTTGGGGAATGATCCGATGTTTCCTGAAAGCAAAATACCAGTATCATTTCAATGAGAAGGACACCATTATCTATTTTTAAAACCCTTAATTGGTGACCAAAAATAAAACCCCTTTCAGTCTTGTATACAAGTTTAAAATCAACCTTTTCTTTCTTCAGTAAAATTAATTAAAAAATAAAGTAAAACAATTCATTAACGAGTTTAATCATTTTATATTTTAATTCAGTACCATTTGTTTATACAATGTTGACAGAGAAAAAGTGAAGCTGATTCTCAGATTTAATTGCTGTTTCAATTTAATTTTGAATTTTAAAGTTTATAGTCAGAGGTACGTTTTGCAAGCTTCCACACCATTGTGGCATATGTAGGGCAATTTTATTACATTACCGTGAAAGTTAACTTTTTTACATTATGAAAGACTGCTGAGGTATTCAAGTCATTTTATGTGGTTTTTAGGTTCATTAACCAATCAAGGGCTACAAACAGAATGTGGTTACAAATAGTTAAATGCCTTTAGAAGTAATCACTATTACTAATTCCTGCGTGCCAATGATTTTCTTCACAGCACTCTTTCTAAGTCCTTTTATTCTATGTTGATAAAACACAAACATCTGCCTTAGCGTAAAACATACATACATAACATCACTCACCCACATGTACAGAAATACCTAAATTCATAATTTGACGTTTAACTCTTGAAAACAAAAATAAATCATGATTTTATTTCAGAATTTGAGGCCAGTTTGTTAAAATTGACCTATCATAGGCTCCCAGCTTCCTTGACACAACCTCATTGAGGTTATCACACAATACAATATGAGGTATGTTTCTCTTCCAAATAAGATCTTGGTGGAATTGTTTCACCCTAATTTATATATCACTGATGAAAAGCTGCATTTAGTGGAATCTAGCTAAAAACAAGAAAAAAATCACATCCCCATGACTTTGCCATTTGTCTTAACAACTGTACCAAGAAAAATAATCACTTTAAAAAATTTTGTCTTTGATTATGTCCATCTTATTGTTTGGCAATTGACAGTTTATATGTACCCTTGAAGTTCTTTGACAAAAATGAGCATTAACAACTACATATGTTGCTGTACTTCTGTTATCTTTAGCAATTTCGTTCATGGTTGCTACATCTATTGTCTTTTTTATTATTAATTTTTTTAGTTTTTTAGTTATTGTCCTATACTTACTGCAGAGAAAAAATCTACCATGCGACACATAGCTTTTTGTGGATTAACTATATGCATTAATTTCAAAGTCTTGCTATATGGCGAATAAAAACGTAAATAAATTGTTAGAGTATGACCCCAACCATACCAGCATACTCGAAGTACATGTAGAAGTAACCCTGATGTAAGGTACTCTGACTGCTCATCTAAGACTGCATTCCCAGAGATTTAGATTGATCCATCTGGATCAATCTAACTCCCTGGGGGTTCACGCTAAATTGCTGTCAGCCCTGCGCGCACCATAGTTACTAAGTAATTACCCCCTCACAGCTTTTAGTAGGGGGGACAGACATTAAAGCCTGTAAAGCTGACACCAATCTAGTGAGACTCCCCAGGGGGATAGATCGATCTAAATCTCTATGGGAATGGGGTCTATGAGACCATTCACACAGATATTTAGATCGATCCATCCCCCTGGCGAGCTTAAGCCGGCTAAGCTGACAGTAATCTAGTGAGACTCCCCACAGGGATAGATCGATCTAAAATCTATGGGAATGGGGTCTAAAATCTCTGGATCGATCTAAATTGCTGGGAATGCACCCTAAATCTGTGGGAACCCAGTCTAAGCTTAAGTTCTTACGTTAGTTGACATTCGCGCAAAGTTTGGTCTTCTAATTATTTTATGGCAAATACTAGGATGCCAGTGACCGCTTTGACTGAGCCATGTACGTTTAAAATATAACATTAACCCAATCCCTTACCCTCTATGCCGCATTCCGCTGATTTTTGTTATACGTTTGTAAAACCCGAGGACCCCTGTAAGGTGCATGTTGACTCCACGGTGTTCAGCGAGAGACAGGAAAATAGTTTCGCATTATTTTGCATCCAATAATAAATCTTTTTCTGTTTATTTTGAGATATTTTGATATTGATATGATAGAATCGTTTTCTATTTATTAGAAATTATATGTTAATTAATATCAATTGCATGTTAACTATCATAAAAATATTTCGAAAATATATAGCAATGTTTTACATGGCCAGATAAACGGCATGGCTTCTTTTTCAGGAATGTGTACTTGTGGTCAAGTTTTGAATAAATCCAGGGTATTTTTAAACAGGATTTCACCAAGTACAGTAACAGGTAAAATGATGACTACATTTCCGTATTAATGCAGTAAGACTTAAAAAACATCCACTTGTAGGTCGGATTTTATTGACTTAAGAGCATGAAACGTTCAAAGTTGTCTGAAACGGTGAAAGTGCACTCTGTGGTGGGCAGAGACCACGTAATAATTCGCCATTGACGACCATACTAACATATACCTGCAAAACTGCCTGAATAAAATAATTCAGTGAAACATTTCTTACCCCCACGACCAGAGACACCTTGATTTTAACTTTAATGACAAAAATATACCATGACTACCAAATTTTCTTACAGGCAGCACTCAAACACACGTACCCCTAAATTTGTAAACAAAACGCTGCACCTCTGCCTTTCCTCAGCTATCTACCCCAGAGGTCACACAGTGCACTACACCTCTTCCAGGTCCTGGAAAAATGGTTGACACCAATATTAACTCCAGCAACCCAGTGTGAATGTCAGAAGAAATTGCAAAAAAGAAAAAAAAATCACTTTTTATTTAATCAAAGCATTACATTTGCACTAAATCCCATAAGCCCTCCAAAATTACATATCCCCACTGCAGGAACTAGCAAAGGGGACAGCAGTAATTAATATTAAGACTATCTTTGGTATTCCATACAGACATCTTATGTAGGGATAAATTGTAGTCACTTCAAGTTTCAGTGCTTCCTTGGTAATTGATCATAGCCACCGGGTTGGACTTGTTTTAGAAATTTATAAATTAAGCTGAAAAATGCATCTATAAAGATCACTAAAACTAGGTTTGAAATGCGTGGGACCTTTCGGCTTATGCATCCTCTTCATGGACTGTTTCAAGAATAAAAACACCTAATTGCTATTTGCGATCTCAAGCCATGAGTTTGTGATAGTAAATGCTTAATTAATAACTTAAATTGCAGTTGCATGGTACAAATATAAAATACTAGTTGGGAGCATGGCAACCTAAATCAATCACCTAGTTCAGCATGTTCTGTATGAGAGATTTTCACTCTTGTTTTAATACAGGGCATGAATGCTACGTAATAGAAATGCATTGATGGGCATAAGTAAATTACAAACTTAACTTCGATGTGGTACTTTCCATATTTGAATTTTAAATATTAAATCTAATGACATTTTATCTTAATTGCAACAGAACATATTGAGATATTAGCACCAGTAAAATCACTATCCCACAGCAGACAGACAGAGTTTTTTATCTTTACTTAATGTCCAATTCATTATGAAAAATTTTTTTATGTTGTGAAAATATCATGGAAATATTGATTAAAATTTCAGCACACCGGGGTATTCATTCAAGAAAAAGACATATAAAGCCACTGTTACTTCAACTGTACAACAGGCGAATAAAGGAAGGACCAGTGCCAGAAGAACCAAGATCATCTTGGCTCAACTGGTATGCAAAACAAAATTTGCAAGCTATTTATTTTGGCTTAATTCACATAAAGTGTCTTACTATACATGTATTTTATTGAGTAATGTGAAAGATTAACATTTGTTTAGTTTTTTTTATTATATCATTTGTCATATGAAGCTGCACAAGCAGCACAAGATGGTCTTTGTTAAAAATTTAATATATGAACCAAACAACTGGAATAAGAGAAAGTAAGGGTTGCAACAAGAGAAGGTGCCTTAAATTGCTAATTGTAAAGTTCAGCAGTTTCAACACTTTTTAAGATATTGAAATGAAATTTAGGATATATTATGAAAGTGATGGATTTAATAATAATGAAAATTTATACCTTTCTTAGGCACACCCAAAAAACTAAAATCTTTAGTAAAAAAAAAAAAATGCCATGCTGGCCTATGTGACTTCTGACAGGTGCTAATGTCTGGCAGTTTTGACACCTCAGCATGTGCTTTTGAATTTATGATAATATCAAAACTGTTTCACTTTAACACTTAACAATTTTCAGGATTGACTAAAAATAATGGATCAAAAGTCTTTGCAAAATTTTAATTTAGAAGCTTTTTGAACTTTTGGAGTTATTTTAACTTAATAATTAGTAACGTTTTTTTAACCACCTGATACGTATGTCAACTGGAGAATGACAATTATAATCATTATGGCAAGAATGTATTTAAAGTTAACTGTGAATCCTTTAGAAGATATTAATAAAAAATTGATTTCTTATGAATGCTTATATTGAGATTGGTCCTTTAAATTTTTAACTTTTAGGAACTTTGATGCAGAGTTGTATGCATTTGGGAAAAGGCTTGGTGAGGAGTTTACTGACAGCACACTCAAAAAGGCATTTACTCACAGGTATAATTTGACAGTCCTAATTGATTTTTCCCAATGATCGATAGTTTCGAAAGTTTTAAGAGAGAGAGTGTGTGGTATTGAAGATGTTGAGTAATAATATTTACAATCGTGTATAATAATAATATCTCTTTTATACGGATTTCAGATAAGAAGGATATAAAAGTTAACTAAACATGTTAATACTTGTGGAAATCAGTCAGATAAACACAATAATGTTTTCATATTTGGAAAGGCCTTTAAAACAATTCATCTAAAAGTCATGCTTGAGTAAAACAATTGATATAGGTAGGATTCTTTTTAGTTTTTTAGTCTGTTTCTTTGCAGATATATATAATTACATTTTTAGATGACTGAATTGAAGCAGATGATATTATTGAATTTGATTTTCATTAATATTATAATTCAATTCTTCAAGGTCATTTGTAGAAAAAGAGCAGTCAAAGATACAAGACAGTTTCGAAGGGGATGAGGGTTTGCTTGATTTTCAAAGTAATGAAGATCTTATAAGCAGTGGTATGTTGTTTTTTCACAGATACAGCATCTGAATAATTTTCCGATGGTGAATGCTTTTCATACTACTAGTGCATCGTCTTTAACAAACAATTTTTTTCTGGTAAACAAAGCAGTTATATTTATGACTTGAAATGTTTGGGAAAATTCAAGAAGATCTCTTTTGTGAACAGTAAAAGTATAGATCAAAGCTCAAACTTGAATTTTAGATAAGCAAAGTATTTATTTTGTTGAATCATTTATAGACATAGTGGAGAGAAGATTTATCATATGTTTGTGATATATTCAGGCATGACACTCATAAGTGATTATATAAAGGCATACCTGAGGCATCACTATCCAAGTTTTCCTGAGGAAGGGATAAGGTATGTGTATTTATAAATTTATGATATTTCAAAACATTGAATTGAGATAGCTTTAAGACCATGGGTCTTCATATTTGCACTATTTTTCAATATGTTACACATACACACACACACAGTCAATATCTTTTAAAGCTAGTGTGTGATTGTATTTTGGCATAAAAACCAAATTTATCTCATTGGTTTATTCTAGTGCAGTCCATGACTACCTGACAACAGATGAACTTTTAGCTTACATTGCTCTGAATATTGGGATCAAAGATCTTATTTTGTCAGCAGTAAGTCCTTGATTTTCATTACAAGTATGCATTTGCTTTGCTTTTATGAGTGTGCCTTGTTCATGTGTGTATGCTTTATGTGTGATTCATGGTTTTGTTCTGGTCCTGATTGTGAAAAAGTCCAGAACCCAACTGGACGAAGTGCAGCCAGAAGTCATCTGAAATGCATCAGTTGATGTCACCATACAACTAATTCAATGCACATGAGATTCCAAAGCCTGAAGCACAGTTGGGTCTCTTTATGTAATGTGGTCCACCAGTGATGTCAGATAATGCAGTTAAGGTGTTTTTTTTTAAAGTTTGTTGAACATGGACTAAGACTTAAAGGAAGATTTATATTGTCTCCGTTTTATAAAGAAAGGCTTTCAAAACAGCAGTGGGGATACAATGCTTTCAGATCACAAGTGGGGTTTAAGCAGATTCCAAACAGTCATTCAGAATGTTAAAATAGTTCTCTCTCTCTCTGAAGATTTCTGAAGTTGACTTAACCATTATTATGTTTGTTCTAAGTTCCCTAAAGATTTTACAAGGAGGTATTTTTGTAAAACTGTAGTCAAGTAATTTGTTCTTTTCTGCATTTAGGATTTTCCTGCGAGTGAAGAAACATTAAGCAAGACGTTTCAGGCAGTAGTTGGAGCACTGGCTCATGACCAGGTACATGACACATACAATCAATGCCTTGTCATTACAATGATACAAACACATCTTTTATTTTTCAATCAGTTTTGGTCTCAAAAGTAATTATGCTGTTAAAAAAAGGCATTTTTGTGGAAGTGTCATGAATATGAATATAGATATTACAATTAAGTTAAAACTGTATCAAGTTCTGAAGAATTATTTTTATTTTTTATTTATTATTTTTGAAATCTAAAGAACTGTTATGTTTTTACATTTTATGGCATTATGGCATATCCAAATTGTGCATTATCTTGCAATTCAATGCCAATGTATGTTTTGTTTTATGCCAAAGGGTATGGAGAGGGCTGAGTTGTTCGTACAGGATTTTGTGTTGACCCAGTTAATAGGCAAAGATATCAATGAGATGTGGTCCATTGTCAACCCAATGGGTGTTTTAGTGAACATTTTACAAAAACAAGAAAGAGGAGGACCAGAACCTAGGTATGGTAGAAAAATATGTTGTCAGTAGACTTAACTGGCCTATGTGAGTACATTATTCAGTATTTCTTTCTAAAGATTATAATATCTGTCAATATTTTTTAAGATTTATTAAGTCTATTAATTCTTGGTTCTCAATCAAATACACTGACTGAAACAGTCAAGGTGCAGGTTGAATAATTTCTTTTGTTATTTCATCTCTTACCTTATTGAATACCAGCCAAGGTGATTTCTTTTATGTGATATATTTATTGCTTTCCAGGTTACTGTTTCAGTCTGGACAGAAATCTATTCTGTCTGTGTATGTTGTTGGTATTTACAGTGACAAAGAGTTGATTGGGCAAGGTGAGATTTCTACTAAGCTAGCTAGGAGATGATGCAATAAAAGTCTGTATGAAACTTGCATAATATGATATTCATTTGTTAGGTATTGATAACCCAAAATAAGAAGACGAAAAGTGAAATCATGATGGAATGTTTGCAATATTTTTTGAGAGAGCAGAGAAGTCAATATATTTTACATGCCGCTCAATGTAATTGTGTATTGCCAAATTGTGAGTGGATCTGCACCCATGACCTTCTAATTTGATATTAGCTCATAAGTAGTTATGACATTCCTATGCATTTCATTTGTGCTAAAAGGTGCTATTTAAAAACGTGTTGGATATTTGTATTTCTGTGTAGCTCCCGGAGAAACGCCAACAATTGCAGAAGAAATGGCAGCTGTGGACGCATTAAAACGACTATTCAGCACCGAAGACTGCAGGACGCCTCTCTCTTATGGAGACAAGGGAAGAAAACTTCATATTGACAGAAACTCTGAGAATCCAAAGCTACAAAATTATGTTGAATTAAAAGAAGTCGAGGAAGCTTCCAGTTGATAAATGAAGGGCTCACTGGAATATACTCGATTTTCGTTTGCCATATGCTGGACTAAAACGAATGATTGGATAGATTTGTTTGACCTATAATTACAATGACTCTGCCAGAGCAAAATTGCCACGCCTTTGAAAATTGGTAATAAATGGATTTAAGACCAGACTTGAACCACATTTTGTAAATACCAGCTGTAGATTATCTTTGAGCAAACAAAATTATCATCTGAAAAAATTATTTGCGTTTATTCTGTAAAATAGAAAATAAAAATGTATATAAAATCTTCAGTATAACAATTTAATACAGAGACCTGCTTTGATGTGTATTGAGATCTTCAAATGTCAGTATTACACATACTGGAACTATAATAATTTCAGCAGCTCTTTTCTTCAAATAAAAAACGTTAGATAAAATTGCTGCGTAGGTTGTGATTGAGGAAGACGACGGTTTGTTAACAACTATGTTATATCACGTTATGAATTGTGTTATCGTTAAAAACTGCCTCAAGTGATTGCGTAGCATGCTAATAACATCCTCTCATTGAAACGATGTAACATGGAAGACCTTGAGGATGACAAATTATTAAGAATGTCATTTTCGTGCAGACGTGTGTTGTTTTCGACTCTTATTGTGTTTCCACGTGCTGACGATCTGTTTGATATCTGGAGTGCGGTTCATGTCCCTCCACATATTCACACACTGGTCCAGAATGGCTTTATCACGCGCATCTCCACGCATTTCTCCTATGTCGAACACTGAAAATATAAAATAAAGTAATTTTACACATTATCCACAATATTAGTTTTAGGCAATTCGATATACCATGAAGAACCAGTTTAAAATGACCATTTATTTAAAAACTGATACTTTATGGCCTTAACAGGGGATGGGGTTCCGGAGGGTGAGCTACTCTTGACAACGGGACGTAGTGTGGGGATATGTGATGGCCACCTCTTGTTTAGAGAGAACCTCTAAGATGTGCATTGTGGTACTAGGTGACCTTTGTTTATCAAATACAACGTGTAGGCATTACCTCGTATTTCCTCTTGCTTGTAGTCTGGTCTGTTGTGCAATCGTGACGTGCGAGGAACGCCACTAAATACTCGGTCTAAGTCTTGGCGAATACGAGCTGCGATTTGTGCTGTTATATGAAATGATATAAAGAAAGCAGTTCTTAAAACATCGGAGTTATATGTATATATATGTACATGTTCAACTAATAAAAAAAAAATTATATATATATTCAAATAATAGAATATTTTGCATGGTGTTTCTCTTTGTATTCTCTTTATTCAAAGCTCTTCCTGCCTCTCATGCCGACAATGAAAACTCGGAATCTTACCCCGTAATTTGTTGGAAAGCGGCCCTGCGGTACGTGGGCGGATACTTCCATGGAATATCTTCTTCACCGTTTCGGGATCCTCTCTAAAAGCTTTAATGCGCTTGAGAGCGCGAAGCTCGCTTGAAACTCTTGCTAGACAGCTGGTCATATATTTGATGTCGGACTTTTGATGCCCGATGGACTTTGATAATTGACATTCAGCCTTGTGCTCGTGTTTCAGGAAAATCTTAATGTCGTCTGTGACACAGTCCAAGTGGACTTCGTTGCGTTTCAGTTGTTGTATTTGTCTGTTGCCTTGAAGGATTTCTGCTCGTAGAGCTTCAATTTCTGCTTTGAGAAGCGCGGTTTCCTCGGCATGTTTTTTAATGGCCAATGGTGTGGTGCTTTCACTCTTCATGAATCTAAAATTCAACTCTCCCAGACAATCTTCCTTTTCTTCCAGCTTCGTCTGCAACACTCGTTTTTTGCCTATGGCGTTGCACCTCTGTAAGTGCAGCTTCTCCAGTGCACCCTCCTGTTGATGGAGAACGTCCTCGACCTTCCCAGTTTCAAACTGCTTTCGTTTTATCGCTAAACGGGACAGTGCGTTGTTTTGGCGTTCCAGTTTTATTTGATTTTGGGTGTCAAGACGATGCTGTTCTAAAAGTTTGATGTGACACAATACCCTTTTGTCGTAGCCGTCATCAAGAACGATCCATTGCTTCCCAATCTTGGATAGTGCTAAAAATGTGTTGGCCATGTCATCCACCAAAATCATGATTTTATCCAGTTCGTCCACAAATCTCTGTATGGAAGTGCTTATGTCAGCCATTTCTTTTTCAAGAACTTCTAGGCGTTCAAAATTCTCATCTATTTGGTGCTTGATTTCAATTGTAGTGTCTTCGTACTCTCTTACAGGATAAGAATCAAACTCGTCTGCCTCTTCAGCAAAACTTATGCAGAACTTTACCAGATTATCTATAATAGCAGTCTTGAGTTTGCCCTGCATAATGCTTCGAAATTCCCTCAGTTCGTTGTGTTTTTGATTAAGCATGCGAAGTTCTTCGTTTTCTGGTTTCTGTAGGAGATGATCGTATTTGTCTTGATTCATGTTATCAACCAGATACACAAAACTTTGTAGCGTCACTGTGGAATTTTTATCACTTCTAACACGACAAACAATGTCCTCTATATATTCTAACCATTTGTCTTTCTTGTCGTCGTCGATTCCAACGAACCACTGTCTTTTGAAAGCCAAGGTTTCTCTTTTCACTTCGTCGAGAATAGCGGTGGCTTTTCTCTTGACGCCATCCAAGGAGAGCGGGGCATTGGCGTGCCGATAACGTTGGGTCGGTGGAGGCAGCATCGTGGGAGATAGTGGAGGCAGGAGGTCTTGCTGGCGCTTTCTTCTCATCACCGATGTGGAAGTAGTCATAATTATTTGAGCTGGAAGACTGATGAACAACTGGGAGCCAAAACAAACGTTGCTAATACGCCTTGATAATCAATAAACCCTTCCTTTGAAAACACGTTTCAGAACGGAGGCGGTGTCTTCCCTAGGTGGGCATGGGACATTTCACTAATGACTGAGACTTCGATTTTGTTTTGCATAGTTACGGGTACTCCTGCCGAAAATGAGAACGGATTCGCTGCCGGTTTGTTCCTAACAACGTTCAATCGAAGCGGAAACGATGTAAAATATTTACCTACGTTAAGAAAACATGAGGGGATCCGGACAATGCACGACAAGGATCATTTGCAAACACAGCTCACTTTAGAGGCACACTGTCTAATCAAGTAATGAAGTCCGCATCATAATATAGTTTACACCCTGTCAATTCACCAGCACTATAGGCAAACAGACCACCCAACAAATATTTGCCGATAATGACCTCCTGATGAAAGCCGTTTCAGTAGGAAACAATAGTAATTCTCCTTACTACCCCACGTATTCGATTTGAGATATCAAATTAAGAAAAAATGTGTCATAATGCAAACATCAATAAACGTCAATAATTTTAGCTGAACAATTTGTTACCAGCGCAAACCGCAACTGGGTATTATACGTATTATAATTGCACCTGTATAAAGTAAATACGGCAAAAAAATGGAATTTTGCATTTATATTCTCTGCAACTAATTACATTTTAATAAATCGGTAATTTTGGCACGTACTGTATGGTTTATACAAATAATAAGTAAAACATAATTCAATAAAAAATAAAACGTTCGCAGTCTATACGATTTTTATTTACTTCAACGTGTGCCTGTGTACATCAAGTTATATAATATGTACACACAATATGTGCACCAGATATTTGGTCTTATATGACAAAGTAGAATTAAACGTATATGCCCAAGACTCCTTATTTACTGCCTTAAGCCTAGGTCCTAACTACGTTTTGGACACACTTTTTTTTTTTGTTCTTTATGCCCGGTTAGGTCGTAGCTAGATCGCAGGGAAGAAATCAAGTAATTGGTGAAAAGCTTCTACGTGCTGTTTGCGTCCTCCAAAAGTCGCACGATGGACGTGCTAACCACGCACGAACTCCCACGTTTTCCCCATTTTTTTGGCCGTAGACCACACGTAGCAGCCCGTACGTTCGGTTGGGACCTGAGCTTTACATACATGCTTTTGGGTAATAGGTTAAGGCTGTGTGTTCAGTGACTAAGTTAAATCACATTTATACATGTCCTCTTATGGGTGACGTCACAATTGCGATTTTGGGGTAAAAAATGAAAAATCGGTTTCTCAAATTTGTATCTTAACTGAGCACCCACGATCACCGTTTCAACACCATTTAGTACTCCAAAACCCTGACAGCAATCATTCTGAATCTCTTTGTTCTGATTTTACCGTTGATAAAGCAAAAATGGCTTTGTTTAATGAAAATCTGTAATTAGGGGCTTATAACTCCATAACAAAAACATTTAAACCAAAATGACGGCACTGGATTGTAGCCCAAACTGTCAATTTTTGTGATAAAAACTTGTTTAGGGATGAAGTTACGCCCCAACTGATTGCTATCTCACCTCAAATAGAAAGGTGGTGAATTGACAATTAAATGTATGCTCATACGTAGCAATGAGAAATATACATGCTGATATTTTATATTTTCGAGTTTTTTAAATTGTTTTAAATCAGCTCAAAGATAGATGCAGTACTTCATAATTAGATGCAAGAAAAAAAAAACACTTCCGGCATCTGGATGATAATAAAGGATTACAATACCCTTAAGGCAAGGTGCGCTGTGATACAGCAATCACGATTGGGAAATTGTGACAGTTACAACACAGCACACCTAACGCATTTCTTTAGATTATAACAGAAATGGGACCAATTTTTGCAGTTTTTGGTTTGGTATGAATCAAATCAACGTTCATATAATTTTGGTTAAGGATATATCAAATAATTAACACTATTAGTGATATTATGAGTTGATATTTATAAATCAATATTTATTAATAAATATGAAGTTCACTGCCTTAATATGTTCTTTTTTAAAGGCAAATAAGTAAAAAAAACAAGGCAGCAAAGCTGTCAAATGTACAGACAAAAAAAAAAAAAAAAAAAAAAAAAAAAAAAAAAAAAAAAAGATGCAAAAAGGTCATTTGGTCAATTTTGATTAAAAATAAATAATGCTTATAATAGCACAGTCAGTCAACACTGATTTTTCATCATGCACAACAGGTAACATGGTCAATAACAGGAGCAGATCCAGAAATATTTTCTGACAGTATTCTAAAGTATTTTTGTTGATCCATCCTCCATTTTGATGGTCTTCCAACAGAAAAAAAATAGATACCCATCAATATAAACTTTAAAATCTGACTGTCTTCCAGGAGACCCAGAAGATGGTCTCAATCCACCCCTTCAATAAGATTACAGTTTCAGCACCATGAGAGTTAAAATTCACATGATGAAAGTCCCAATATATGAAAAATGATGACAGTGCATAAGAT